TGGGGTGTAGGCCAGAGGTGCAGGGGGGTGAGAGGATTTACCAGAGACAGAGTGGGGAACAGAACAGGCAGATCCACTGAAATCCACTGCTGAGGGGAGCAGTGGGTGAGACAGGAGAGGTCTGCTGAGCCATGTGGGTTAGCTCCTTGGCCAGGGATCGAACTCATGCCACAGTGGCTGGCACCAGCTTAATAGCACTGAGACTTTAACCCCTGAAACACCAGGAAGGCCCGCAAGCTTGTAGTTTTTCTGTAAATTTCTCTTAGTGGAGGAAAGTGGTCTGAGGGTATCAAGGAATTTACTACGTCACGTTTGCTATCTGGGGGATGCTCTGCTGGTGAGAAAAACCTCAGATGATGCAGTCATCCCAAGTGACAAACACCACGCTGACAGGCATGGACAGAAAATCCTTTACTGCAGCTTCTCCCCGACCCTCCCTCTCCTCAACACAGATGTATTAATTTTTTGAAAATGTGGAAATATGCGTTCATTCACACATTCACCAAACAGTGTTTGTGTCACTCAAAGCAAAACTAAATATGTGCTGAACGTCGTAATTGGAGGGATTCTGCACTTTACCTTAGCTTTTAGGTTCCACTTGGATGTAGCCTGAGAGCCTCCGTCTCTGGAGCAAATCCAGATTTCTGAATTCCCAAACACTTTTTCTTTAATACCTGTGTATTCCACCTGAATCCCACTGAACCAGTGACTGGCAAGCAGTCAGCTCACTGACTGGGAAATCAAGTCTCTCCAGTTGCTTGCCTAATTAGCAGAAGCCAATCTGTCTGCTATTGGTATATTCTCTCTCTCTCTCTCTCTCTCTCTCTCTCTCTCTCTCTCTCTCTCTCTCTCTCACACACACACACACACACACATACACACAAAACTATGCAACTTGGGCTCTCCAGCCCAGCAGGTCCTGATACTATTCCTTTGTAGACAAATGGAATGATGCATGGAGAGATCAATTCACTGGTAGAGCACATTCAACGAGGGAAGGACCCCAAGCCTTCCAACATCCTGGTCTTTCTTACATACATGATCCCTCCGGCAGGGAGTTAAGAGGCAACGGGGTCAAGCTCCACAGGCTCCCCCACTAAGACCTCACTAAGACCCCCACCTCACCCATAAATCAGTTTCCAATCTACCACCCCCCCCCCCTTGGAGGTTGAGTTACAAACCTCAGTAACCCCAGGGCAGCTTGCCTGGTAATTCCTATTATTCAGCTGTCAGCTGGTTTTTAAAAAACCTCCCTTCCCAGTGATCCAGTTACCAGAGTTTTAGAGCCCATGCCTTGTCTCACAGAGAAATCCTATAGCCAGGTGGAACAATGAAGAGGGCTCCTGCCCACTTTCTACGGGAGCTGGATTTTCTCTTCTGTTGAAAGCAGCTTCTCCTTAACTCTTTGCACCCCTCTCAGATCACCAGGGAAGGTCTGCCTCGCTTATGCTTATGCTTCCAGGCTGATGCCTTTCTCTGGGGACACTCCTTCTAGAACTAGCATCAGTCAGCGGAGAAGAAAACAAATCGGAGCAAGGGTAGGAAGAGAAAGAAAGGAAATTTTCCAAAATAAAAGTTGCAGTGGCTGCAATATGCGTTCGCTCTGACCCCAGTCAAAAGTCCAGGGTTCATCTGTTTGCAGAGCGCTGCCATTGGTCAGGGGGTTAGGGATCTCCAGGGCAGCAGGTCCTGACACTGCAGAGTCTGCCTCGCACTCAAACAGGAAAAAGGGCCCAGAGGGAGGGGTCTGCTTTGACAGTGATGAGAGGTGGGCAATGAGGCTCCTGACCTCCCTGACCCCTTTATCCCTGACAGTCTTTTTGGGCCCCACCAGCTGAGAATGCTGGATCCCTGCTGCTTGACCTTAGTGGCTGAGAGCACAAGAGGCCAAGTCATCGGGGCGTCCTGCAGAACCAGCCTGAGGGAGCTGGTGGAAAAGCCTGGGAGAGAGGTCCTAGAAGAAACTCACTGCCTATCTTGCAAACTACCCACACCCATTAAGATGATTCTTTTTGCACCCCAGCCCCATTCCTACAAGGCTGATTTTTTTAAAAAATAGGGTCACATACCCCTTAGGGAAACTGTTGTAAGTTATATGGCCCCCAAATGTTTGTGATTTGGCCAGTGTTGGGGCTAAGAGATATGATGAGGCTGGTAAGTGCATGGATCCCAGGTAAAAACCCTGTTCTATCTCTATCAACTTCTTGTCTTGTGGATCCTGTTCACCTTGTAGGGCTGTGATGAATCAGACAGCTTTTGCAGGTTGAATGGGTCAGAAGAATTAGGATGACCCCTGCACCCTGGGGCCTGTACTGCCCCAGAGAACAGATTCAGAGCTGCTTTGTCCTTTATTTCCACTCTGGACACAAAATAATGCCCGTGGGCACCACTGGCCAGCCTGAGACATTGGCCCAGGAGGAAAGCCAATGAGAAGGATGGGAGGAAAAAGGGAAGGGAGGTTCCCTGCATGGGGAGCAGTGGAGGGCTCCCCAATACCTGTCACAGAGACTGGGCTCAGTCGCCTTATCTCCCCACACATGGAATGAGTGCAAGGTCACCACGACCAGCTCTGACACTCCCTCTTGGCCAAGCCTCCTGGCACTATAATGTACCTCCTTTTGGCTCCGGCACCTCTTTCTGGACCTCTGTCAGCTCCTGATGGGGGTGGGGGAAGACTGGGTTGCTAGCCAAGACTGACTCTCTCCTCTTTCCCGTTTTCCTCTTCTCCCTTCTTTGTGAACATTGCTTTATCTGTGTTAGCAACCACGGCCCTCAAAAGCCTGGTTTGCTGTCTTTCAGATGCCCTTTACTGGAGCTAGGGAAAGAATGTATAGGGGAAAGAAAGTACAAGGAGACTGCCCGCAGCTCCACTTAGTTTAAATCTGTCTGAGTTCCCACTGGAGTAGCTAGATGGTCAGAGCACAACCAATCTCCACTGTCCTTGGTAGGTCAGCTCCCATTGCTGCTCACTTAATCTGTGGTAGGGACTGCCTTCTTTTCACTGGTTTCTGGTTTCTTAGTTTATTGTTCCTAAAACTCAGGCTTGCTCAAGTATCTCCTATTCTAGAAAATCTTTGCTGACTCCCCTTTGCCTCCAGAATAAAATGCAGATTCCCCTGCCTGACATTTGAATCAGAGATATCTCTGCAATCTCACCTGAAGATAGCTGTCCACGCCCACCCTTCCCAAACCCCAGTGCGCACTCAGTGATCCCATTCTCCAGTCTGCTTCTGCTCTGGCAACAGCTTCTCCCGTTCAACACTTTATTCTGCTGACCGGTATTCCCTATTGAAAAACTTCCCCATTTGTAAAGCCCAACTCAAAAGTCATCTCCTTGAATCACTCCCCAGTCTTTGCATCTCCCAGCTAGTCATTATCCCCGTAGACGACACATTCCATGCTGCTTTCCATTATTTTCAGGTCTACCTCTCTCCAAGTGGACAGGAACCTCCCTGAGGGCAGGCAACAGGTTTCTGGCACCTAGCCCAGTACCATATATGTAGGTGCACAAGAAATGTTTATGAAATCCCCCACACGCCCTTTCCTTTGTTCTGCAGGCCATCTGCAGAACATGGTGCTCTCCTGGAAGCACCAACATCGTATCTGGATGCTGCCATAAACAGGATGTGACTACTGCTCAAGCAGTCCACGCATTTAGGAAAAAAACAACAACAACATATCTCCCTCCCCACTATTCTCTAAGTGTCCATACCCAGTCAAGAGGATGTTTGGATGCGGTTGGTCTGGATGTCACCAGCGCCCGGGCACACCGGGCACACGTATTCTCGTGCCTCCTATAGCTTTGGGGTTGGAGTTTTCTCCCGAACCGCCCGGCAGGCGTGCGGTGGGGTGCAGGGGGGTGTCTGCACCAGGCCGGGATGCCCTGGGCCCTTCGCCTTGCACCCGCCGGCTGCCTCTGGCGCATCTGAAGCTTCCGCCTCCTTCCCCCCTCCTTTTTCTGGACGAGTGGTAATTATTGAACCCATTCCCGAGAAAGAGAACACATCACTTTGGCGCCCCCTCTCTCCCTTCCAACCGCGAGAACTCAGGGACTCTCCTGCGCTTCCTGAGCCGGCGCTAGGAACTGAATCTGCGCCGGCGACCGCGCTCCCACTGCGTTTCTGGCGGGGCTAGGAATTTCGCTCGGCCCCTTGCAGTGTTTACTAGGGAAGTTTCGTACATTTGTGACTATCCCTGGCAGCCGCCCAGCCCGGGACTTGGAGCTCCGCTCGCCATTGGCCGGCCGCCGTCTGACGCGGGGGGCGGGGCCTCATCAGCTGTTTGCGGGATGCCCCGAGCGGGCGTATTTTGGAAACAATACCGCGCGGTGCCGAGTGGCCTCTTCCCGCGCCGTCCGGCCCACCGCTGCCGCCGCCCTGCCCGCGCCTCCCGCCTCCGCCTCCCGCCTCCCGCCGCGGCCCGGTGAGCGCCGGGCGGCCGGGGCCGGGCGGAGTTGGATCGCGCCTCCTCGGGGAGTGGGGAGTCCCGTGCGCGTGGGGGCCCGGGAAGGGTTGGAGCGCGGGGTCCGGGGTGACCGCGGAGGACCGAGGCGCCGGCGCGCGCGAGCCGGGGTGCAGCGCCCATGTCTCGGCGCGCTGCCCCGCGGGGGACTTGGGGGGCAGGAGCCTGTGGTCCTCCGCGGAGCTGGGGCCAGGTGGGTGGGGAGCCTGCGGTGCGCCGCGGAGCTGACCCGGCGTCCGCGAGCCCCCGGCCTCCTGGTCTCGCGCTGGGGCTGGGCCGGGAGTTGTGGGGCGCTCTGCCTCTCTGCGGAGCCTGAGGCGCCTCTCCTTAACAGCTGGGCTCCCCCCGCCTTCCCGGTTGAGTCTGGGCGCCAAGCCCCTGAGCGCTCGTCACGCTGGACCCTGGCGCGGAGCCCTGGCACCACGACTCGGAGGCCGAGACTCTCTCCTGGAGTCACCCAGGTCTGCGCGGGCTGTGCGCGTGTGTATTTGTGCGGCCCCAGGTTGTCGTCCCCGTCGAAGTGCAGGAGGTCTGTCTGCAGCAGCCTTCTGGGAGGAGCCTAAGTTTAGCATCCCTATTAGAGCCCGCGGGGCTGGGAAGGCTGCCGTGGGCTTTAGTTTCTCCTGCTAGGAATAAAGCCTTTCTCTGGCAGCGCTCTGGGGGAAGTGTTTCCACCAGTTTGGACATCCCTGCAGCACAGGGGAAAGGCGGGGAGAGGGCCACGCTGCTGTATCCCGGCTTACACTTGACCCTGCCCAGCACCTCCCTGGGCTCCCACCTGCAGAAGAGCCACCTGTGTGTCGTGAGAGTGGGAAGGGTCCCAGGGCCTGCAGAGCCACACCCTTTGGCTGCACCTCCCCCACTGTCCAGTTCAGGGAAGGGTTGAACTTTGGGGCTTTGCTGCGAGGAGGAGGGGGAGGTGACAGCTTCAAAGGAAAAACGAAGACAATGACTCCTGCGGCTTTGGAGGGCCCCTTCTTAGGTTGGGATCGTCAGCTTGCAGAGGAGGTTGAAGGCCAGGGAGCCCCTGCCAGGTGACTGGTAGGACAGCCCTTGGTCCTTTCAGGGGGAAACTTTGTTTCCTGGTGCTGATAAGCTGAAATTCTCTCCTACCCCCACCTCCAGCTCCCCTTTGGGAAACATTATCCAGGGAACACCACTAGCCTTTTTTGCTATTCAGCTGGCATCTCCTCATTCTCCAGGGAAGCGGACAGAGATGAGACCACAGATAGCTCAGAGATTGGATGGGGTGGAAGGTTGAAGCGAGCAAGAGAGTTTGCATTTGGGAAAACCAGGATTTCTGAATTTAGATTCCTTTAAACACTTCATTAACCCACAGACCATTTGCCATTTGGCTTGTTCTTCAAAGGCAAGAGACTGGGAGACAGAATTCCCAGGGGATCTCTAATTGAATCTGGCAGTGACAAACACTGTCTCTCTGTATCCTTAACTATTCAGGTGGTTGGGGGGTTCTGATTGCCCCAGGGACCCTAAGGGAAGCTTGGTGTGTGTATAGGGGTCTGGGTTGGGTGCTTAACAAGCTGGGTGACTCCGAGCTCCGACTTCCAAGAGATGGCTCTTACCATCAGGTGGAGCAGGAGGAACTTCTTTATCACCAAGAAACTCTTATCAACAACCTTAGTAGTTTAGGCAGTGAGGTCACGGAGAGAGGACTGAATTTCACTTCCTTCTGTGAGGCAGGTTGTACCAATCTCAGGTTCCCCGCTGGCAGGAATGGTGGGCTGTGAGGAAAGGTTTGAAATCATGGAGACTAGTGAGTAGTCTAAGCTGGGGAGACTGGCCAGTTTTCTAAATGCTGGATATACCCTCTAGGCCCACCTGTGCAGGGCAGACAGCTCTACTGTGCTGGAAGGGCAGCAGCAATAACTAGCTTAGGTCTTTCTGCCCCCTCTCCCAGGACACTCTTACCACACCACGGAGCCTGTTTGTTGTGTTGAGCAAGCTGGGGGAGGAGACTAGAGTAGATGGGCAGTAGGGCGGGGCTTAGCAGGTTTGGAGGGAACCTGGCAGCCCCAGGATGGCTGGCTTTTGTTTTTGCTGCTAAGCCTGGAGCTGGGCTGAGTCTGAGATGAGAGCTTGGTGTGTACATGTCAGGGCACTCTGTGTGTGTGTGCATGTGTGTGTGTGTGCGTGCATGTGTGTATGTTAGCCAGTCACAGTACCCTTCTACCCTCCCACAGCCACTCACAGAGGCTAGTCTTGTTGACATTTCCCCAGGTATCCAGCGTGTTTGCAGCAGCTGATCCTACCTCTGCTATTGCTCAGAGTCAAGAGCAGCCAGATTTCATGGCCGTGACCAGCTTGGTTCAGAAGAAAAGACCAAGGAGAGCGGCCCCGTGTGGGCTTAAGGAATAGGTGTGAAGAGTCCCTGAACAGTGAGGCCGGCCACATCCAGGGGTCACTGACACCCTTGACAGTCCTTTATTAGCCAGAGCTGCCTCTCCCCAGATGAAAAGGGAGAGCGGGGAACGGGAGGGGAGGAGGTCTCAGGTTGGCAGAGTGGGGACGGCATGCCGGATGCCTGCATTGTGCACTCACAGGGGACATGGAGCCACCGCAGTGTGTGGAGGAGTTGGAGGATGATGTGTTCCAGCCAGAGGATGGGGAGCCAGGGACCCAGCCTGGAAGCTTGCTCTCTGCCGACCTGTTTGCCCAGAGCCAGCTGGACTGCCCCCTCAGCCGTCTGCAGCTCTTTCCTCTCACCCACTGCTGTGGCCCTGGGCTTCGACCCACCAGCCAGGAAGACAAGGCCACCCAGACCCTTAGTCCAGCCTCTCCCAGCCAGGGTGTCATGCTGCCTTGTGGGGTGACCGAAGAACCCCAGCGACTCTTTTACGGTAAGTACTTTCAGCCTCAGGACTCCTCCCATAGAGATCGGGGGAAAAGAGGGGACTTTCCCTCCTCAAACCTGCTCTTCACTATTTCCTTCCCCAAAACTGAGCAGCAGGGGCTGTTGATTCCTCGACTCTCATCCTTCTGCCTCTCTGCTTGTCGTTGTTCCTCACCTGTGCTCCGTGGGCCCCAAGAAAGGCAGGTCATCCTGCCACTATCTCTGCTCTTTTATTCCTTCCTGGAGGGATCCCTCAGTTCATGATGTCTCCTTGGGCTGGAGAGAGGGTGCCTGGACTTGAGTGGCCCAGCCTTTTGTGTCCCAGCAATGGCGTGCCTTCTGTAAAGGGACTTAACACCGCCCTGGACAAGCCTGGGGGATCTGTGCCTTGCCGTCGACACTGGAGGGAAAAACCCAGCCGCTCTGGGAGGGGAGGTTCCTAATGGCAGAAGGTGGCCTCCAGTTGTCACTTGGGACTTTCTGTCCTTGGAAGGGGAACTGGAGAATGAGGTTGGCCTGCCTGGGCTCAATGCCAGCAGAGGGGCTGTTTTAAGGCTCAAGCCGACAAGACCCCTTCATTTGTGGATTTAAATGGTTTGTTTTATGAGTGGTATGCCCTCCTCTGGCAAAAGGGCAGGGTTAGACACTTAGTTTGTTTTCTTCTTTTAGCACAATAGCTCATGGAGGGAAGGAGAAAGGTTCGGAGGAGGCCAGCTTGCTGTGTCTGACTGAGCCGACCGAGGAGACGCTGCAGTTATCCCCAGAGGGAGCTGCCGCGTAGGGCTAGTCTGGCATTGGCAGTTCTGGCGGGAGTCTGAGAAGATGGATAAGCGGGCGGGGAGGAGGGTAAGGGAGGAGGTGGGCGCCCCTAGTGGTGCCTCTGTGGCCAGCACTCTGTAAGTGGGGACCGCTTGTCTGGAGGTCTCCCACAGTTAGCCGCGCGCCGCCCCTGGAGAGGAACGTGGCTATTCTGTGGGTCTGAGGAGTTTTCTCGTTCTAGATTTCATGCCTTGCCCATAGCTTCAGCACCCAAGATCAGCCTGCCTTTTTTCTGCACTAAAAAGTCAAGACGCTTTTTGATTTTCTCTGTCACTTGCTTGCTTTGCCCAGGAACTCTAGAGGGCTGCCTCCGGTGCTTTTCCAGAGAGGAGCTTCAGCCTGCTACTACATGAATAATAAATGGTGGTCAAGCATAGCTTGGTAAATAAGGACAGAGATTGGCACGTTCCCCCACAAGTATTACCTTTGCCTTGGTACTGCTTGTGAGTGGAGAACTGAGAGGAAGGCAGAGACCATTCCCTTCTGTTCTCCCCGCATCAGATTTTATACACGTGGGCAACAGGCAGGTCAGGCAGCTAGTCCCTCTCCCTTCCCATACAAGCGTTCACCCTTGGCCCCAAGTCTTGGCTAGGAGGAGCAGCATGGGGGAGATGGGGCAGTTGTGGACAATGCTGAGATATGGGCCCTCTGTCTTTGCAGGCAATGCTGGCTACCGACTCCCTCTCCCTGCCAGTTTCCCTGCAGGCTTGCCCCTTGGTGAGCAGCCCCCTGAAGGGCAGTGGCAACATCGAGCAGAGATACAGATTGCCCGAAAGCTTCAGTGCATTGCAGACCAGTTCCATCGGCTTCATATGCAGCAAGTAGGCCTGGGGACTTGGGGGGAAGGATGTTGGGGGCGGGGTGGGGGGGGAGTGGCGGGACCTGCTCTGGCAATTCTGTCTCTGCCAGGCCTCAAGGATATGGTCCCAGAATTTTGGCCCGGGTTATTGGGATTCCCATAGACTGAGTGGGCCTGACTGAATGAACGTTCTTGCCCTCATCTCTGAGCTCCAAGTGGGTTATCTGCCCTCTCAGTTCAGCCTCCATAAAAGCCGGTCAGGAGATGCTACGATCCCTCCTAGGGAACGGCATGACTCTGCAGCCTACCTGCCAAGCTGTGTCTTCTTGAGGCCAGGGTGGGAGATAATCCTTCTTCATAGACCTAAAGGAAACTTTTCAGGGTGCGAGCGTGAAACTGGACAGTGGGGGGTACCTGGCAGAGGTGCAGTGAGAACTGGATAACCAAGGCCAGGGATGGCCCTGAGTGGGGGAAAGTGGTGGAACCAGTTGTAACCTGACACTTTCCAGCTGGGGAGGCCACTCCTCATTGTCTCTGTCTGGGACGCTGGCGAGTGTACCTCAGAGTCCCTCCAGACTGGCGGCCTGGTGCTGGGCCGGGTACTTGGCCGGCAGCCTGGCACTAACCCCGCCAGGGCGGAGCATCGCGTGTCAGTAGAGCATGTGGCAGAGTCCATCAACAAAGGAGGCGGCTGGCAGGCTCGTGCTGGAGGAGCCCTCCGTGCCACCGGCTGGAGGCTGCCTGGCTACAGAGCTGCAGCCTGGGCCAGCCCCTAGGCACTTAACCCTTCCTCTCTGGACTGGCTTTCTGACTGGCTGCCAAGGCGGGGAGAGAATGCTGAGGCTGGATCTGTGCTAGTACCACCATGGCTGAAGCAGAGGCACACCACCTGGAGACAACACATTCCCTACCTCTGGGACTGTGTTCCTGGCGTGTGTGGTGTGTGTGTGTGTGTGTGTGTGTGTGTGTGTGTGTTGTGTGTGTGAGAGAGAGAGACAGAGACAGAGACAGAGAGAGAGAGAATATCAAATCAAGAGAATAAATAACTCACCATGATTGGGTAAACTGGGAGTTTAGATAGGTAACCTCGTGGGGACAGAGGTAAGCTATTTATATTATGTTTGACTGAAGGACGAGACCATTGAGTTTCCAGAGAAAAAACCATTGGGGATTAGATGTCTCTGCCAAGGAGTTTTTTTTTTTTTTTTTTTTTTTTTTTTTAAGATTTATTTATTTATGCATACAAGAACTGGGGTACAAGCCAGAGGTGCAGCGGAGGGTGGGGGTGTGTGTGTGAGAGGACTCACCAGAGACAGAGTGAGGAACAGAACAGGCAGACTGACTGAAATACACTGCTGAGGGGAGCAGCAGGCAAGACAGGAGAGGTCTGCTGTGCCATGTGGGTAGCTCCCTGGCCGGCCGGGGATGAAACTTGTACTGCAAAGGCTGTGGATTGCTTCATAGCGCTGTGCTTAACCCCTTGCACCACCAGAGAGGCCCTCTGCCAAGGAGTTTTGAGGATTTGGGGGGCTACACCTGGTCCTGGGGGCTCACTCAGGGCCCTTAGTAGCCCTGTGCTTAGATAATTTGGTGCTTAGCCTCTTCCTCTCCTTCTCTTCCTGGTCCCATACCCCAGTCCCTGTTTCCTCCTATGATTGTTTTTTGGAAACTTAGCTTAAGAGTTTCCCCTTCAGTCTACATGTGGATGTACTCTGATTCAAGATTTTGGTCTCCTGTCCTTCCTTCTGCCCCTTCACTCACTCTACCCTGTCTGGACAGGCCTGTGTCTGAGCCCAGCTTACAGCTCCCAGTCCAGGTACTGAGTTCGTGGAAGACACAGTGGCTGTGGTCTCTTAAACCTGTCTAGAGGACTCTTCTGGAAGGCAGCTGTCTTCATTGCCAGTAGACCCAGTCTCTCTCAATAATTGTCTCTCAGAATACACCCCCCAATCCCGTCATTGTTAAGCACCTGTGAGCCTGGGGCAGGTTGGGAGAGCACCCTTGCCCGACTGTGCTTTGGTATAGACTAGAATACAACCCTGGCTCTTTCTTTCACTTCAGAACAGAACCTTATTCTAAGGTCTGACCCAGCACCTCACTACTTGGCATCATTTCCCCCACTCTAGGACTACTTCTTTGAGGTCACAGTTCCAGTTTAACCAAGAGTGCTGTCCTATCCACCATAGGGAGAGTAGGGGAGCAGAGCAGCAGAGCCAGAAGAGACTGGAGGAGTCTCCCCTGCTCCTCTCCTCATCTCTTACTGCCTCCTGAATTCCCTGTGGCCCTCCCGCTCCTGCCAACTACCTACTTCTGTCCCCTTGCAGTGGCAGGAGGCTGGCCAGGAAGTCCTTTATGCCAGAGCTGGTTTTCCCAAATTTTCCATTACAAAAAAACAGGCTTCTAGTCCATGGAGTCCTCTTGCTTTTAACCCACTCCGCCCTACAAACCCTGCTCATGGACTACCAGCAGCTCATCCTGGGGGCAGGGCTGGGATTCTGACTGTGGGCAGGTGAGCACTGACACATATAGGACCTTTTAGCTGGCTTTAAGAAATGAGTAATTTTTTGAACTTGATTATTACATAAGGTATGGTTTAATGTTTCATATCTAAACAGTACTATTATCACTCATATTCTTATCCTTTATTTTCTTTACCTCATCTTTACAGGCAGAGAAACTGAGGCACAGGAAGGAATAGTTTAGAATTAAGTGTCTAGGTTTCAGGTACAAAGTCAGAAAACCTAGGTTTGAATACCAGCTCTGCCACTTACTAGCTATCAGGAAGTCACTTGACCTTGCACTGCCTATTTCCTCTTCTGTAAATCAGAGCTAATGCCACAGAATTTTATTGCGATGATTGAGGAAATACCTATGAAAGTTCCAGGCACACAGTAGGTGTTCTTTAGTGCTTGTTTCCTTCTGTGTGTCTGTAATCCTGACCATACTCTGTATTTGTTCTTGTCAGTTTACAGGACAATTTCCCATCCCACCCACCAAGCTGGTCCCTGAGCAGAACTGCCCGCTGCACTCCCTCACCTGCTCTGTCCAGAGAAATTGGTGTCTAAGCTGTTCCGTTTTGGGGCGCTGGTCCTGTACACTTCTGCTCAGAGAGTGGTGGTCGTCCCCTATCATTGTGGGATGAGTTTAGAGAGCCAAAAAAGACAGCCCAAGAGGCAATACAAGGGTCGAAGGGACCTGGCCATCTTCCCTCTCCTCCGGGCTGGAATCCCAGGGCCAGACAGTTGCCATTGGTCACTGAGTCCTGTGACAAGCCTTGCCTTTTGTCCCTGCTTATGGACCTCATTTATTCTTTTTCTGATTTAGGGGAAACCTCCCTAGGAGATGTGGAACAGCGGGAGGGGCTATGTTGTGGGGTAGTATGTTGTAGGGTGACATCATAGTAAATTGAGTGCATCAGCATGACCCCAGATGGAACATGCTCCGAATTCCCCCAGGTGTGAGTTTGTGCAGGCCTCAAGCCCTCCCAGTATGTTTCTTAAGGAGCTAGACTGGGTGTGGTCTAGCCTGGGTACCTGTGCTCAGCTCAGCCCTCTGGAGCAACAGGCAAGGAACTGGAGGCAGAAGACTAGCAAGGTGCTCACTGTTGGCTCTTTGGTCTCCAAAGCAGTAAGTTTGTTAGAGGCAGAGTGAGTGGAGTTAAAAGCAGTTCCACACCTGGTCCTGTCCCACCTTCCTTTGGGTGAGAACTGGAAGGTTCCCTACTGTTCATCTGTGAGCTGAACAACTGAGCAGTGACGTGCGCTGGCTCATGAAGGTGCCCTAGTGTTTCTATGTCCATCCTGCTTCTGCACAGAAGAGAGAGGGACAAGTTTGCTTCCTCACTGATCTCACTGGCTACCCCAGCCAGAGGTGTGAGTCCCAGCTGCTTCTTTCCATTCCCCTGAATGTGGTCTCCTCCAGCGTGGGCCTAAGAATGGACGGTAGCTCGAGTCTTGGCACCTAGGAAAATTTCTTGGCCCAATGACATAATCTTAAGAGATGTGTGTGGGTATTTCTGGGCAATGTGAGGAAGCCAAGAATCCAAAAAAATAAAATTAAATTAAAAGCTACTATATACCTTTGAGTGAATAAAACTGTAGGAGGTTAGAATTCTTTATGTTGGAAATGGCTTTTTCACTTGGGCTGGGAGTGGCTCCATTCACAAGTCAGGTTTGGAAATTCCCTGAATTAAGCTTTCTGAAAAATGAAATCTGAGAAAAATTTCAGTCACTTGGTTTAAATCATCTTTAGTTGAAACTGGACTCAGAGTCAGATCCAGGTTCAGATCCCAGCTCTGTCACTTAGGAGTTCTGTGTTCATAGACAAATTACTTAATTTCTCCAAATCTCAGTTTCCAATGCTTACCTTGCAGGGTTGATGTGCAAGGTCTTTGGAAATTGCAGTACATATAATTATTAAGGTGTAGGCAGTTTAATACTTTTGGAAATATGTGAAGAGATGTTTTTAGGATTTCATTTGGATCTGGCTTTATTGTTCTTAGAGAGCTCTTCTGGGAGTTTTACACAGGGTGATGTTTGCATGGCTTAGTAAATGGCAGCTTCTCTGCCTGCAGCCCCTGACTGCTTCCTGACCGTCTGGGGTACTCTTCTTGTTAGCAAATGGCATTCTGACTCTCAGACCGTGGCTAATGAGGTGGATCAGGCTCTGAATGGGGCAGCCTTGGACAGGAGCCCCAGATACTCACAGAAGAGTGCGAGGGGTCCCTGTAGGCCCCCCTCCATCCCAGGAGTGGGAGTTCCACCTAGGACAGAGCCTGGGGAGGCGTGCAGTAGGGGGAGGGGAGAGACTGTGCGTGAGAGCCAGTGCTGGGGCTTGGGGGCCCTGTGTTTGCTCTGTGGCTGGCTCTGTTTATATCACTGGCTATATTTAGCTTCTGAGTCATCAGCGTGGCTGACTGGAGGCCGAGTTCCCCACACAACTCTGCACCTGACTACTCTCTCTTCCAGGAGAAGGGCCTTGTAGTTCCGGACAGTTCATTCCCTCCCCACCAAGGCAAGCCAT